GCAAAGACTCCTATGCAAATTCATTACAAGTGTGAACATGAAATCTATGTGAGCAATAGTGATTAACTTATTTAATTATTTAGAAAGAAGGGATTAATGAACTTGATCTCAAGTTTATCGCAAAGAACTTGCAAGTGTAATTTGATTACAAGTAACAAGAAGAGCACAAAGAATATGGTTTTACACCAGAATCATAATATTGGGAAGAGATCATTGGATCATAATGGCTCATTTACAACATTAGAAACAATGCACCATCAAGCAATGATCAATAGAGCTGGCAAAGAGTATGGCAATTTATGTACAAGCTACAATATAAGACCTTGAATAGATGTTATGAATGATTCATGAATTTCATATCAGTCAAAGTGCAAATTTTCAATCGACAACAGCACTAATGTTGTCACTCGCATCATGGGTCAAATGATGATGTACTAGAAAGATATACTGCATACTGATGATCTCTTGAAGTTGGCAACAAGAGATATACAATCAACACATGTATGAAGAGTACACTATATCCATAAGCAAAGTGAAGAGAATTTCTTGAAGGAGATTTTGATTACTATCAATACAAATCGACGTCTGTATACAAACATACAAATAAAAGTCAAAGAGATGAAAATTGGAAGGGTATACATAGTGGATTGCAAGCAAAAATTAATGATAGAAGTCCACCACACTGACCACAAACGAATAGAGAAGAATTCTCATTTATATAGTAGTCCACTTATAGGTGATGACGATTGATGTGCAGTGGATGCGAGATCATCCATATACTTGAAAACCACTCAACACTAGTAAGATATATCAGCCTTCTACAAGCAAGGATAAAAGATCTGCAACATACAATCTCTCTACGAAGACAGATGTATGTACCACATGCCACTGATGGGTAGATACAGAAAGACTTCAGTAAGTACAGTATCCTGAAGTCAATTTTAATATATGGAGTACATCTACCTGCCTACCTATAGCAGTAGAGGATATACTATACGAAATCAAATACCACAACAAAATACATGAAAAATACGACAAGTGCAATCTCTTACGACCTAAGGCAAGAGATTAGTTGGTGCACTACGATCCACCTGCAGAAAGCAAATAGTGCACGACAGTCTACCTGTACAAAGCAGCGAACCACTAAATTCAGAAGCTGCTACGCTAAGCCACCGGATCTGCGACGTTCTTGGAAGCGGACAGAAGGCGTCCACAAATATTTCAAAATACCCTCGCACATGCACTGTAATTTATACACACTTAGGTACACTAAAAAAGGGTATACAAACAAAACACCGGCATGGGCCCAGGCGAACGTGTTATTGGTACACACGTGACGTCCAGAGATGCTGCGCGGGTTATTAAATTTGAACCCGATTCTTCTAATTAGATAAAAGGAGTTGACATGATTCACTTATAAAATGCCCCCAAACACCCGCATGGGCCCCGGCGAGCGTGTTATTGGTACATACGTGATGTCTAGAGATGCTGCGCGGGTCGATAAGTGAATTCAAGTTCGAACCCGATCCTTCTATACGAGTCAATAGAAGTCCACAGAGTTCGAACTAACAAACGAATATATGGTTGCGGCGACCGCTATATTTATATTAATACATTCGTATTAGGCTTTCAAGGCCTACAACAATGAGAATTCACTATCAAGGGCACAAAGCCTACGAAACCCGATCCTCGATCAGTAGCTCGATCGAGTTGACAGGGTTCAATCAATAAATGGAAATGCCCCCAAACACCCCGATGATGGCAGTGTTGAATGCTAATCTCAACCGGAGGGGTTCACAAATATTTCCAATGCCGTTCCAAATATCCAAAAAATCAAAAAAAAATCTCAAAATCCCAAAAATCCAAAAATAATTTAAATTTGAAATCTAACTATCAAACACTTAAAGCAAACTTCATTCACCCTCCGCAATAGTTTGTCGGGGTGGACAAATTAAAAAACACTTCAGCTCGAGCTAAATGCCTAGTCGAAAATATTACTAGAATCCATTCTCAAAAAGTCTTCAGCCAGTAAGGACGTGGTACGTGTCCTCTAACCGGCAATTTTGCCGCCAAATGGCACCGCAGGATAAACGGTTATGATCCAGGGCCCTCTGAACCGAGAGGTTTTGCCGCCAAATGGCACCACGAAATACCGGTTATGACCAGAGCTAATACGCTCCTTAATGGCATTAAATCCTTGAGATATGAATTAATAGGATATGATCGATAGGGCACAAAGCCCTCTGTTAGCTAAGGTGGATTCAAATTTGTCCCCTTAGGCAAATACCCACCCCAAGTCTACAAGGTACCCTTGGACGAAGCAACCCATGGCTGCCGACAAGGATCCTTCTGTCAGGTTGGGTCGACTACCTCCTCTGACTAAGTAGACCAGGGATCACGATGGCCCGGGACGACGGAACCATGGGATCTTGATCGGGTCTATCATCCATTCCCCCACCATCCGCTTTAAGTGCAAGATGGTGAAATTTCTATTTTAAATATTAAACCTTCTAAAACCATCAAAAATCACAATCTAAATTTTCAAAATTCCAAACCCAAATCCATGCTGTTACTATATGCCAGATAACACGTATTTTTACGTATCTGATTGATGACTAGCCTTAATCGAAAGTTCTCTCTCGTTATCGGGAGGGGTAATTAACTATAGGGGCTTGCGCCTATAGGAAACCAGAACTCAGATCATAAAGTCCTCACAAAAGGAGGGCGAAATCTCTGGGTAGTGTCTTATCTACAAACCCATCTGCCTTCCAAAATTTACCTCGGAACTTATTCAGTTAAAACTCCCTCGCCGAATAAAAAGAAAAGTGAGCGGAGGCCGGGGCCGAATTTTCGGAGCCCACAAAGCCCTAGGGGCTATGTTGTCTTTTTTTTTCCTTTTCATTGTATGAGGCTATTTATACCCCTCTTATATTTCTTTTGAGGTTAATGAATGAATTATAACCAAATTTCTGCATATTGAGTTCTTGTGTGAGCTTGAGAGGTTTTGAAGAGAAGACCTTGGAGAGGGAAGCGGATCACCCACCAACCTTGGAAGAGTCCGGGTTCGTGGCTAGTTTTATCATATTTCTTTTTTCCTCTTCCTTCCTCCTTTCCCCCTACATCACACAGCTCATTCCAAATTCCCAACCGCTGACCACCTTAAGCCATCCACCACCAAACCACCACTCCCCTGACCTCACCATCACCACACCGTCGGCCAATACCAGCCCTCCCTTTTTCCCATAGCAACTGGCCTAGCACCACCAGCCAACCAACTAACCTCCTCCCAATCTTAGCTGTCGGCCCCTTACCCAAGACCCTAGCCTCACTGTCAGCCCTAGTGCTTCCTCTGGCCTCCAAATTCAAAAGTCACCCATTAATACTTTCCATATTTCATCCAAGCCCAATTAGAAAGCATTGGTCCCAATTATCCAAAGCAATTTTGAATTCCAAAACTTTCCAAACATAAGAATCTAAAAAGTTTTCAAAATTCAACCCTTCTGAATTTTAAACTAGATGGGAATTAATTAAGCCCTTCCTAATTTAATATTCCAAATATAGAAGGCTTGATTTATTTCCCTATGCTCCTCCCTCCCTCTCTCTATGCCGCCGGCCCCCCTTGGGTCCCCACCCATTGAATACTTTCATAACTTCAAACCCCTCTCTTGGAAATAATTCAAAGTCTCTCCTCTCTCTTACCACCCCTACCTCTTTCCTAATCACCCCTAAATCCTTTCCAAGTTAAAGGAATAATTAGGGAAATAATTGCTTGAATTCCCTTCACCTCCCCTTATCAAAATCTGAACATATTTTGACCCCAAACTCCTCCCTTTGGCCGGCCTCCTCTCACCCTTATTCTCCACTTGAATTCTTGAGAGAAACTTCTTTCTCTCAAGGGGGATCGTTAAGGGAAGCAAAGGATGTCGTCCCCAACACTTCCACCTTACGGAATCGATGTATGGCCGGTCCCCATCTTGACTCCGGTTTCATCTACAACGAGCAAGGATTCGTCGACATCCTTCGGTCGACTTTCATCGACATTAACCTGGAAGTAGACAATTCTGCCGAGGAGTGCTTGGATCGTATCATCCTCACCTTGTCTGAAGCCATCGAAGAGCAGCTTGCCAACATTCAATGGCAAATCATTTCCGTCCCACGATGAGGGTGAGCTTGTCCTCCTATTCAATCTCTCTTCTAATCTTCTTCTCTTGTAGGTTGCGATTCAAGCACAAGGAGTCGTGCAAAGCTATCTGCCAATGCTTAGTAAACGTAGGGCTTGAATTTTGATTTTCTATGCTTTCTAATCTCATTGTTAACCTAGGTTTGCTATTGGAAATCTACTTAATTTGCATGTGTTGGAATTCTAATTGCTTTAGTGATCTTAACTTTTAGCATGTGATTTGGACTAAGTGAAGCCACCTATCTTTTGTTTTCTATTATCATTTAGTGGCTAACGTTTATAATTCTCAATTGCTCTTATTCAAAACGTGCAAGTTCTTATGGTATTCATTTAAATCATACCTAGTCCTGCATCACTTAAACTAAAGGGCCATCCATAGCTTGCTAACCTAAGTGAAAAATTCTAGTTGCTCAAATGATGTATTGATCAGGTTTTGGAAGTTTTCAAGTAGGAATATTTATGGCAGGAAGTGGCGTATTACTTTAGTTGCACTTTTCAAGGTATGTATGGATACCAAGAGAATCTGCTTTAGTATTAAAATCACTGGAAACTTATGAAAATTAAATGCACTAGTTTAAGCACTGATGCAAAATGCACATATTAAACTATAAAATTCAGGATAATCGCATATCGTATTAAAAGTACACAAATTTAAATGCATTTTTCCATATACTCTGAACGCACTAAGCATTCAAAGGTGAGTCTAAGTAACTTCAACCCCGATGCAGTAAATCAAATTTGCACGACTCAGTATTTGGAGATCTTTATTAAGCATGCAACATTTATTTGTATAAAAGACCCGCAAGAAGATGTGACGTACCTCAACAACTCCAGGATTGCTTAGTGCCCTTTGAATACTTTCATTTCTTAAGATGAAATTACAATTCTGCGAGTTTGAAGGTGATATTGCTCTGTTATTATGCATCTCTGAATCAGCCAAAGAGGCGTACTCTTTCAGCTTCTGCACTTCCATTTCTTTACTCTCTAACTTTGATTTCAGAGTGGAGACCTTATCAGATAAAACCCACTAGTTAATTTTCTTATAGGAATATATATATAAAGAGAGAGAGAGAGAGAGAGAGAGAGAGAGAAGAGTTCAGGCTATGGCAAAGAGAAAACCTCCTCTTTAAGTTCTCTGAGTTCACCAGTTTCCTTATTAACACGAGCGGCTCCAAGCTCAACTGAAGAAACACGCTCCGCAAACTTAAGCGTGCTTATTGTTTCACCAAAAGCATTAATCTCGGGATTTATATGCACAAGCATCAAAGTCTTGGCTTGCCCACCTAATAAAAAACATTAATTTTTCAACAAGGGCTCAGCATATGAATATGCAATGGAATTCCAATCAAAAACGTAAAGTTACTATAAAACACCGCTCACGAATGAACAATTGCATATTCCCATTCTATTAATAGCTATTCTAATGGATCTACAGTTCATCTATCAAGAACAAAAACTTTCAGTTGTAGCTGGCGAATCACGAAGAAAATGACTAGATGCTTCACAAGGTTTTCTGCATAAAAATATTATAACTTGAATTTTCCAAATTACGTACAAAACTATTTCAGAAATCCCAATGAGCCCTACCACCCTATTCAGAAAATAGTCAATTCCGTTGAACAAAACTATTTTAGTGGCACAATGGTGCAGATTTGTCGGATGGTTGGACCCATTTGCCTGATCTTGCTTCACATTGTGACCCATCAATTATATACCTAAATGAAAACAAGGATTTACAAAATATATTTTTTAAAAACTGCCATAGACATAACTTTTTCTTTTGAAAGTATAACAATATTTTCTATCATACTCCAGTAGATTTTGCTATGGGGTTGTTTGGTTAGCTATAAAGTGAATGCAGTGCAAAGTAAATACTTTGAGGTTGTTTAGTTTGAAGTAAAGTGAATGTAGGGGAACTGATTTTTCTATTTGGTTGGATGTATGCAGAGTAAAGTAAAATGTGCCTCTACCAAAATTGCAGTCTTTGAGAGATTTACCCAAACACCTTGAGTGCATTCAAGTGTATATGCATGATCAAGATTGGATGCATCAGAAAGATTAACACACTTGCACTTGGAAGAATCATCAATAGCAAATTCCTTCCCAATAACACTTTCCAAGCAATTCAAATTGGTGGCATCATCCCTACACAGGACGTTCGAGTGCAAGTCACGAACTTGGATGGGTTCGCTTGATCACAGCTGGGCAGATCGTGAAATACTCTCCGTCACAGCAGGAATAGAGGTTGGATCGGCATTGTCCTGGGTGAAAATCAACCACTTTGACATCTATCCCACTCGGCAGAGAAAAAGTTGAACACTTCATCACACTGGTTGCTCTTGATTTCGCCTGATCCTCCCAAAGATGAGCCAAAGAAGCCAAAGAGGTGGGATTAATGGCCAAGGGAACATAGTAAAAGGAGTGAAGTAAGCCGAAGAAGCTACTTTTGTAGAAGCCGACCTCACGTGAAGCATCGAAGTCTAAGCCGCGGTGAAATAGAGAAAATGAAAAGCTTTCGTGGAGGAAGAAAAGACAATGTTCCTACCGCAGAAGGAAGAAAAGAAGATGGTCTCCTGCGGGCTTTTACTTTTTTTAACTATGGTGTTATCTGAGAAAAAAAGTTATGAAAAAACTCTCCCAAATGAATCCTTAATTATCAAGGATTGATGTTGTTGTTGTTTGTTGTTGTTGTATCAAAATATAAATAAATCAAAATAAAAAAACAAAAATGATCTAAGCGGCCACTCACAAATTAAGAATGTTTCATTTAATCATGGGCTTTCAAGTTGATATTATTGAGCTTGAGGATTAGTGTTTAATGTTTATAGGTTAATATCTAATGAAGTCCACTTGTTCAATGTTAGGTGCTATAAAGGATTAATAAAGTATGTAGACAGATATAATTCTATTAACTAGCAAATAGCTTCCCCTCCATTGTTAACTCCAATTGAATTGAACAATATATCTGCTAGTTTATTGTGGGCTCCGAAAATTCGACCCTGGCCTCCGCCCGCTATGTTTTGCTTTTATCTTTCGACGAGGGAGTTTTAACGGAATAAGTTCCGAGGTAAATTTTGGAAGGCAGATGAATTTATAGATAAGACACTACCTAGAGATTTCGCCCTCATTTTGTGAGGACTTTATGGTATGAGTTCTGATTTCCTATAGGCGCAAGCCCCTAGAGTAAATTACCCCTCCCGATAATGAGAGAGCACTTTCGATTAAGGCTAGTCGTCAATCAAATACGTAGAGATACATATTATCTGGCATATAGTAGCAGCGTTGGGTATGGATTTGAGAATTTGAAAAGTTTGATATTTAAATTGGAAATTTCACCATCTTGCAATTAAAGCGGATGGTGAGGGAATGGATGATAGACCCGATCAAGATCCCATGGTTCCATCGCCCCGGGCCATCATGGTCCCTAGTCTACTTAGTCAGAGGAGGTAGTCGACCCAACCTGACAAAAGGATCCTTGTCGGCAGCCATGGGTTGCTTAGTCCAAGGGTATCTTGTAGTATGGGGTGAATGTTTGTATAAAGGGACAAATTTGAATCCACCTTAGCTAACAGAGGGCTTTGTGTCCTATTGATCATATCCTATTGATTCATATCTCAAGGATTTAATGTCAATAAGGAACGTATTGGCTCTGGCCATAACCGGTATTTCGTGGTGTCATTTGGCGGCAAAACCACTCAATCCAGAGGGCCTCGGGTCATAACCATTTATCCTGCGATGTCATTTAAAGGCAAAACCGCCGACTAGAGGACACGTACCACGTCTTTATTGGCAGGAGATTATTTGAGAATGGATCATAGTGATATTTTCGACTATGAATTAGCTCTTTATGAGCTGAAGTAATTTTCAGATTTGTCCACCTCGGCAAACTGTTGCAAAGGGTGGATGAATTTTGCTTTAAGCATTTAATGGTTGGATTTTAAATTTTAAATATCTTGGAACTTGGAATTTTGGGATTTTTAGAATTTGTGGTCGTTTGGAATGGAGTTTGAAAGGAATTTGAAATTATTTTTGGAATGGACCCCTCCGGTTGAGATTTTCTGTTCAGCGCGGCCATCATCAGGGAGAAGGAGGCAATTTCCATTTGATTAAACCTTGTCGACCCAATCAACTTGCCGATAAGGGATCGGGTTTCATAGGCTTTGTGCCCTTGTTTGTGAATTTTCTTTGTTAAAGGCCTTGAAGGCCTGATATGAATGTATAAAATAAATATTCCGGTCAACTCCGTGACCACATATTTATCCAATGGTTCGAACCCTATCTACTCCTATTTACATGCTTAGGAGGATCGGGTATTGTATTGTAAGCTTTGTGCCTTTGTTAGTGAATTCTCTTGATTATAGGCCTTGACGGCCTAATATGAATGCAATAAAACCAACGTTTTAAAAGGCGAAATCAGGAATCGAGGCGTTTTGGCTAAGCGAGGCAAGGCGTAAGCCTCGGTACCAAGAATATACCGCTCGGTGCTGAGTGGTACTGGGTCGGAATTGAGCGGTATTGGCTCGGAATTGTGTGGTACTGGCTCAGTACCGAGCATGTACTGAGCAATATCGAGCATGTACCTAGTGGTACTGGCTTGATACCGAGCGGTACTGGCTCGATACCGAGCATGTACTGAGCGGTACAAGGTACTCAATAATTATTATTAATACTATTAATTATATATTTAATAATATATATTTTAATTTAACGCCTCTGTGGAAAAAGGCGTAAGCCTCGCCCGGACGTTCGAGGCTTAAGCCTCAGTTCGCCCGACCTCCGCCTCGATTCGAGGCGCGCCTCGAGGCGTCCGCCTTGAACGCCTTTTTAATCGTGGAATAAAACAAATATACAGGTCGTCAAGACCGTATACTTGTTGTTGGTTCGAACCTTGTCGACTCCTACTGATCTGTATAGAAGGATCGGGTTCAAATTTGAATTCACTTCTCGCCCAATGCAACCTCCCTAGACGTCATGTGTATATCAATAACACGCTCGCCGGGGCCCATAAGGAACGGGATTGTATTTTCCTCTTTAGTGTATCTATGTGTATACAAATTATGGTGTATGTGCAGGGGTACACTGAAATAACTTTAGTTGTGCAAGTAATTGCCATTTGAATACACAACATTTCATTTGAGAGCATATATACGCCTTCCATCCGCTAGTACGAGTGTTACAGATCCGGTGGCGGGGTGTTGTAAATTGTAGACGTCTTCTGTCTACTAGTATAAGGGTTGCAGATCCGGTGGCGGAGCGTTGTAGATTGTAGATGTCTTCTGTCTGCTGGTATAAGTGTTGCAGATCCGGTGGTGGGGCGTTATAAATTGTAGACGTCTTCTGTCTACTAGTATAAGTGTTGCAGATCTGGTGGCGGTGTGGTCTTGATGTTATGAGGCATCTCCTCATCTTGATGTTGATTCCCCTTTCTGGTTCACCGGGGAATCGGGGATGTCCTTGAAATCCGTGGCCACTTCCTTGAAAGGGACTCCTTTTAAGATCTTCAGTGTAGTAGACTTGTTATTTTCGGTGTTTGTGGACACCAGAATTATTTTCTTCTTAAGTATAAGACTAAGAAGAAACTTTGGAACACCATGAAGTTTAGTTCTAATTTATTCAAACCTCTCTTCCATTCTGCCATGAGGTGTCATTTTTCGTACATCGAGTTGCCCTTGTACCCGACATACTCATAGATCTTAATCACCGTTGTCGTAGGTGACATCTGTACTTGTGTCCACAAAGGTTCGTTGTGCTTACGATATACCCATTGTTATTACCCACAAGTAACTCGTGTTTATTTGCGGGGGACCATTGTATCCACTATGACCTCCTGAAAATGTTTGTAGAAGACCCATTGTCCTTGCATCACATCCACCTTTCACCAATCTCACGTGGTTTAACGTAGTTGCTTATAAGGACGGATCTTCTAATATTGCCTGTTTTTCGAGTTCTTCATTGTTGCATATAGAAGACATTTATATTCTTTACAGTGGATTGGTATTATTTGGACTTGATTGAACATCATTGTTCATATGCATTGAAATGATTGTTGCATTCATATCTTGGCCCTTATTAATACAGGTGGGAGATACTCGTGCATTCTGCAGTTAATTGTTATTACTTGCAAGCACAATGCTTTTAACCTCATAGGAACTTTGTAGAAGTCCACTACATCTGTCGTTGTATAAACCAGCATCATTCATTGTGTGCTTATACATTAAGTATTGATGATTGGCCTTGTTTGTAGTTGCTCGTTTTGATAATCATTTATCATCTGTATGCCTTG